GCAGCACTAGGTGAAAAATTTTCCGTTTAAAATGTCGGGCTTAGAGTATCATTTGACCCTGGAACGACTTTTAAGCCACAGCAAGCCCGAGTCAGCCGTAAAAGCGATTTTCACACTTTGTAACTTCCGTGATAACGTAATTTCCGGATCAAAACACCCACTAAAACGTAGGGGAATACCTTATGGCTCATGTTTTTGGGAAGTAGTACAAGGTCTTTACTATAAATACCATTGCCGAAACTCTAGTATCATCCAGGCCCCCAATAATCAGAAAAACTTAATTGGATATTTCTCACTTTCGGCAAATCAGAGACGCCAAAACTACCCCGAAACGTGAGAATCGCCTCCCCCCCCCCACGACTGACTGTTTGAGGACATACAACTTTTAACCACAGCAAAAAGGGCCGATCGATTTTCTTCGTTTAGAGTCAAACGATTCGTTATTTCAAAAATTTGGGGAAGCAAAAAATTTTAGAATTATTTTTTTCTCAACCTTTTGCCTGCAAAACGCGGAAAACTCATTTCCATAAGGCCTGCAGGAGGGGGTGGGGAAAATCCCGGGCCCCCCCCCGGCCGGCACCCGCGACTCGCCGATCGCACTTTCACCTAGAAGGATGCGTCTCAGGGGGGTCATCAAAGCGTACGCTACCCCTCAAATTTAATTTTCTATCTGCTGAACTTGGTCCCGTCTCGATGCGACCCCCCGTTCTCCAGCTTTGACCTTTTCCTCCCTAAAAGCGGCAGAATTTTCGCTACTTTTTCTTTCCGTGGCTGGTTTGGAGTACAAGACGACTTCCGAGATACTCATCAAAGCGTACGCTCCCCCTTATTTTTTACGAGGAACATTTTTGTTTTTACTTTTTCTGTAGGACGAAGGGTTTCTTGATATTGCGACCCCCCCTGGTTGCCTACCTCGCGGGGGCTCTTCCTTCTCATGCGAGATTCTATCGGCTGGGTATGATAACTTAATTTTTTATTAAAACATAGTTTCGGTTCTTCGACCGTCATCTAAAGAACCATCAGTTCTCTAAATTTACCCACTTTCCTTCCCTTCCGCTGTCACGGGTTTGCCTACTTGGCAGGGGCATTTTAATTTTTACAAGACTGCTTTTCCCGAGCGGTCAGAAAAATTCTATATGACTCTACTTTTTTAAAAAGGAATATTTCTGGGGCGATTTTTTCTGTCTCTAGGCGCAAAGGTTGTCAAGATTTGCTTTCCCCAAGATGCCCTTTTTTGGGGGCGCTCACTGATGTTCGAGACAAATACACTATGATCCCCTTTTCACAAGGCCCCGGTTTTTCGTTTTTTACGGCCCCCTCAAAGGGCAGCAAAAATCTCCCATTTTACAACTTTTTTGTTAGAGAACCGGCCCTGATAACTTAATCCCCTTGAGGTTGCCCCACTTTTCCCGGGGGTCCAACTTTTAATAAAACAAACTAGGGGAAAGGGGGGGACCCATGTAACGGGGTCCCATGTATCACGGGGTATTTTAAATTTTTGTTTCGCCCGCGGGGAGAGTCACGTGGGCGGAATCGAAACACCATCTAGAGAGCTTCATTTTATGGAAGGATGTGACCTTGCATCTCCAACAAGCATGGCGGCGTGACTAAGTAAAAATTTTGGTCCCCAAAACTAAGGGAAAGTAAAAAAAAAAATTTCTTCAAATATCTTTCATCAGCTTCCTGCTATGGAACATTGTCGCAATTTTTTGACGTGGGAGTGTGCGGAAGGGCTTTGACAACAATTAGCAGTGCCGAACAGCAACATCCGAGCATAGGTTCTGGCAGTACACCACATTGTCCAATGCTCCGACAAGTGGGGACCTATGTATCACATTTTTTGGGGTCCCATGTATCACTCAAATTTCATGTTGGGGGGCAGTTAAACACGGAAATTTTCATGTTTTAATGCCTGTGCTGTAATCATTGCAATTTTATAATAGAGTGACAGGCGATAGGTGTTACAGCTTAGTTACATTTTGCCATTGAACAAATACCAAAAGTAGAGTGATACATGGGTCCCCACCTGTGGAACATGGGTCCCCACTTGTGATACATGAATCTTCACCTTCTCTCTTTGACCTCAACTTACCTTAGGAATGGTCAAACTCGGTCAAACTTATACTCTACAAATCAAAGAGTGTACATAGTATGCTTTAACTGGAGCATGCCTGCAAGCACGCTCTAGCTAGCGCATGCCTGCCAAGCATGCACTAACTAGTGCATACATGCCATGTACACGCTTCCTGATGCAGAAAACTCCCTATCCCTTATGCAGTAAATGTACGCTTCAGTTATCGTGTACATGGAATGTATGCACTAGTTAGTGCATGCTTGGCAGGCATGCGCTAGTTAGAGCGTGCTTGCAGGCATGCTCCAGTTAGAGCGTACCATGTACACTCTTTGAATTGTAGAGTAAACATATTGTAGAAATTAATGCTGCAAGGAAATGTTGCATAATTTGTCCTTTTTTAAAAGTTATTTTTGAAGAAAATAGCTGTGATACATGGGTCCCCATGGGTGATACATGGGACCCCAGGTATGGGGTCCGATGTATCAAATACATGAATTTAGTAGATTGCGCTCCTATTCAAAACCAGATGAGATACATGAACAAATTCAGTTGGCCCTTGTAGAAGGAAGATTAACTCATGCTTCTGACCCAAAACATTTGATTTATGCCCAAAGCCAAAATTTTGACACTCAAAACAAAAAAAAGTGATACATGGGTCCCCACCTTCCCTTATCTTGGAATGGTTAAGTACAGCGTAATTAAAACACAAAGTCCGTCTTCATGGTGGCAAAGGTGAATTCCCGCTTTTATTGCTTTCTAGCCCATTTTTAACAGAAAACTTTTGGGGTAGAATTTTAGATTGTAGGGCACTGCTTATGACAGTCAGGGTCCATTTATAGATTTTATACATAGCTATACGGCTTGACAGGTACGCATTAATTCGTTTGTCAAGATAAAAAATTCTTCAATAGAAATCTTCTCTTCAGGAACGATGGCCATTTGTACTTTGTCACTGCTGATGAATGAAGGGCTGCTGCGTTCGTCACCCCACTAGCCATCACAGCTCCTCGCTGTAATTGGTGAGCAGTGCGATTCAGGCTAGATGACAGGCGCTGCTGTTTTGAAGACGGCAAAGTCATTTCACATCAGCTGCTGACTGCGGCCAGGACAACGACTCCAGGGGAGCCCGACTTTCGACGCTTTGACTCAATGCCACCCCCTTTTGACTCACTCGTCACGAAACATTGTGTACCAGACAGCTTCTGGAATTGTTGACCGCGGCGTACACCGCCCGATTAACAGGCGGCTAGGTCCTACTATCGCTAACCAGACCGCACTCAGCGGGCCGAAGGCACGCACGGGGGGTCTGGGGGGCGAAGCCCCCCAGCGAGCGAAGCGAGTCATACTATATGCCCGTCCCTCCGTCATTTTTTTTACAAAAAATAAACGGGACGGGCCAAAAATAGGGGGAGGGCCTATGCATTTGCCTTTGTGTCTGCGTGTTGTTGTTGTTGTTGGCGTCTGTGTACAAGGAAGGGGTTGAGCTAGAGTAACCAGATTTGGAGGGTACTTCAGGAGTACCGTCCAAACAAATAATCCGGTGGTGCAAATCCCGTCCGGGTCGCACAAGGGCTGCTGCAGGTGCGTCATGGTTTACATGAGCGGGAGGGGGATTTCCGCCATTATTGGTGCTAGCAGGGCACATAGGGGTATTTTTGGAATCGGGGCGACGAGACAAGATGAATGGACCTGGTCCCGACCCCATCGGCCGCTTTTACAAGTTGGCCAGATCAGGATCTTCAAAAATGGGGGTCGACCGACTAAAAAAATTTATTGCAGATTTCGATTGGTCTCAGCAAGACCTTTTCAACGAGGGGTCGGAAAGGGGGTCCAGGAGCCCGACTTCGTCTATTAGTCACATCAGGATCTTGAAAAAGGGGGTCGACCGACTGAAAATTTTTACTTAAGTTTTGGATAGGTCTTGGCAAGACCTCTTCAACGAGGGGTCGGAAGGGGGGTCCAGGAGCCCGCCTTCATGAGTTATGGGAAAAAGTGCGACGGACTCGTTTTGCGCTCCTGCTGTGCCTCTATTGCAAGGAGTTGCAGTAGCATGGCAAATATGGGTATTTTCGGAATGAGGGCGGAGAGACAAAAGAAACGGGCATATTCTAAGGACAGTTGGAGTAAAAAGTGTAAGGACTATTGCATATTGTGAATAGAAGGACGGGCCTAAGTCACGCTGGTACATCGATAACTTTGCTTTACCCGCTCACGGTGTGTGTGTGATGCGAGCGGGCCGAAGGCCCGGGCCTTTGACTGGCCAAGTTGGGTCTGATGCGAGGGCCGAAGGCCCGAGAAAAGGCCGCCGGCAGGCCAAGCTGGGCCGGCCCCCTGTCGAACCGAGTTGCCGGCGCAGCGAAGCGGAGCTGGCAACTCGGTTCGACGGAAGGGCGGGCCCTAGCTTGTTTATAGGGCTGAAAAGTGAAAATAAACTTGACGCGCGCCCAAGCTTGGACGGTCATCTTGGGGTACTCCAGATGCTATTCAGACCAAAATAAGCCCCGAAATGAATGTTTCATTTTTCAAATTTGTGGCACTCAGAATTCGCCCATACGCGTACATTCCTCTCAGAAACTACGATTTCTTACTTCCGGTTTTGTTTTCTTCCGGGCTAGAGAGCATTCCTTCCGACTGTAACATCCCGTTCCATCGACCCCTTGCAATTTTTCTCCCTCGTAAGAAAATCATGCTAAGGCTTTTTTTTTTGACAAAAATGCAATTGTGTCATTCATCTGATTGGCTTCAGTTTTCCCTGCAAACAGTTGTTTGCTCTCCTGAAAAATGATGAAAATTGAGTTATCCCTTCTTCCGCTTCATGGATCATTTGTCACTTCCGATTTTGTTCTTCTTCTGGGCTAGAGCTCCTCCGAAGTTCTCATTTGTTTTCGACGTTGAATATTCGTAATAATGAGGAACAAAAAGGCAATTTGAAAGTTATATAATCGTTTTATTGGTTCTCCACATCTGAGACCATATCTTTCAACTCTTCAATGTAACTTTTAACACCTGTGAACACTGTACAAAGGTTATCTTCATTGAAAGCACTTGATACAATGCCACGAGCAAACCTGCGTCCGTTTATCATGAACATAAGCACTTCGCCACTATCACCTTGTCTTAGTGGCTCACCTGACAAAAGGAAAAAAGACAAAGTTTGAGCCAGTTTGAGATCGTCACCGTTTTGCTCTGTAGCGTGGCGTCTTAAGAAAATTTGACTGAACGGATGAATCATTTAGAAGCAACAGTTGCACTACCGAGGGATGAAACGTTAAAGACTGTATCCCGTTCTTTCCGTGTACATAATATTATCTGCAAGTCAAGAGAATTTCACGAAGTTTGATCATTTTGAACGGGTAAGATAGAAAGCAGAGCATATTTCGAGAAGCATTTTTGCATCTTTCATCATAAAGTTTGTGTGAATTACATTACGATCCCTTCTGAGTCGGAGCTGTGGCTGCCCCGAATGATCAAACTTAGCTAAATGAGCTTCACACTTTCAGGCTCTGACATCAAGGCTGAAAGTTGTCACAACTATCTTGTTCTTTAGTCTGCCCCTCATCAAATTCACTGCAGCTGGTTTCATTTTGTGTATACGACCTACCTTTGTCGGTCCCTTTTGCACAAAAGTTCTTTTCTCCTACTTTAGGCGCTAGTGCTCCACAGATTTTTAGGGAGGCGTTATGTGTTAATGGATTGATGGACGTTTGGTGGAGGGTTCTTCCAAAGCGAGGACGGTCTTTTCCTCCCCAAGCAACTAGCTGAAACAATTGGAAAAATCATTCAAAATCGCTCTGTGATAGCGTGGTGGATTGGGGAACAAAAGTACTCATAGGTTTAGTATATGCTTTAAAAAAAGGCAATGGCATCACTGGTTAAACTAAAGCGTAACTCTATGCTTGACTCAAGCCCAAAGGCTTGAAGACGTTACGCTTGAAATGAAGCGTAGACTTGAAATTCCCCCATGCATTTAGATAGGGGGAATCTTGGTGGATGAGCCGGTTACGCTTGATTTCAAGCGTAAACTGATTACGCTTGAAAACAGAGGGTAATACTACGCTTTAGTTGTATCAGAGATACGAAACGGGCAAAAGTAATCGACTTGTACCGCCACTTTCCCTTTACTTTTAAAGGCGGAACGGAAGCACTGGTGGAGCTTTGCCCAGCATGGGACACTGAGCCACGACCTGCCGTTTATTCCCTTAATGCTGTTGGAAACTTACCGTTCCCTCTGGAGTGTCGAAGGAATGATAGCGGTTATCCCAGTCCACACACACCGGCGTGACGCACTCAACTGGAGAATCAAGCTTAACCAGTGCAAAGTCGCTTTGCCAACCTGCCTCCGATCCCATATATTTTTTCCCTTTCCAGACTTGAGATACCTGCTCAGAGATGAACAGAATAAGAAGAAAAGAAACCGACAGTGAACAATAAACATAGTTTCAATGGTCATGGCTTAGGAGTTCGGCATAGTTTCGTGGTTTACTTTTCTGACTTTGACGAAATTTAGTATGCGCATGGTGCGAACAAGTACTCAATAAACGTGTTTTTAACGTTTTCCCGACCCTCTCTGAATTGCGAAGTCTTTCCTCATTCAGAACTTTCGTTTTTCGTTGTGCATTTCCAAATTTCGTACATATTATTGCGACTCCTTACCCCAACGTTGAATTTCGTGAAAAGTTATTTGTCACAGAAGTCAACACTAGGGTCAAGCAGAGGGTCATAATAGTACAAGGAAGAGCTTTGTAAGAACCGGAATTCAGTTTACGATCGGTTTAAAGGAAGTTCTAAAGGATCACTCCATACAGAATCAAAGATTGCGACACGAAATCGGTTTAAGTTCTGTGGGTTCCAAGGCTACCACTAGGACCTATATGATATATCAATCAGGAAAGTTGGACGTATCTAACAAGAAACGAGATAATGGCATTTCTCAAATTCTTCTAAATTCTCAGAAAAAAATTTGCACTTTTCTGGCTTGTTGCTCTCCCTTCTTAATGTATTGTAGACAGTTATTATTGAATCAAAAGAAATGTTTTTTTTTTATTAACTATTTTAGAATGATGTTTCCCCTTAGAGGCAAAATTTTTGATGTTAGGTTCTTATTACGTATGTACAGTGAATATATAATTTACATTTCGTCGATGAACAGTTCTCTCCGCGTAGTTCCAATCCTTGTACACTTTGCCAACAGCCACTCTGTAATCTCTCATTCTTCCCTCTAATTCAGGAACTGGTTTGCTGTCATAAAAGCAGTGGGCAGCTGTAAAAAGCAAGTAAAAGATGACATTAGTGTTACTTTGGTTACCTTTCAGTTACAGTACCTTCGTAATTGAAAAACGAATGGTTAACGGGGGAGACTCGTCATTCTCCGTAAAAATAATCAGATTTTCGTTTATGAGTTTTTATGAATTATTTGTGGCGAACCCTTGAATTAGGTGGCTGGCTGGTTTCGAAATTCAAAACCGTTTGACCACAGGATGACATTTTGTAATTTATTTTCCACAGGATAGGTTAGACCGTCCAAACTTTGAAGCCATTTTACTCAACTGCAATATTTTGGATCTTGCGCGCACGATCTAAGCCAGACCGTTCATTGTTTTGGCTTCATAATTTTTCCAATATTTCACCTCCATAAGGCTGTCAATCTGAACCAGGATATCTTCCATCGGACTAGCGGAAGTGGCCGAAAACAATCGTTTCTATAATGTACCGTTTTACAGTTCTAATATTATATGTCGCTAACAAAGCAATACGCGATGAAGTCCGGGGCAAATAGTTAAGTTGAGATTAGTTTTGCGAGGACAAACATCAATCAAGACAGAAGAAGGCTGTGACAATGGCGACGGGCAGAGAAATCTGTTCATACTGTTATAATAAGTCTATTAACACTGGACATAAGTCGTCTATTTACTGTGAAAAGTGTTAGAAGTGGCTGCATAAACCCTGTTCGGAAGTTACATTCCGAAAGTTAGTGACGATAAGTGTCTCAATCAATCCTCTTTTTTGCAGTTTTTCCTGTTGCGCTTTCGATCGCTAGCCGGTCAACGCTCATCTCGCGCCAGGTCTCAGAGAAATGTGTCAGGCAGGTATGTACCTCGAATATTTTTAACTGTCGTAGAGGGTTGTTTTTACGATCGGACATGCGCGTTGTAGTAGTGAGGCACGAGTGGTTCGTTTCTTTTTCAATGAGGCGCAATTTTAACATTGTTCTTTTTTTTTGTATTTTAAGAATCTGATGACTTTAACTCGTCTGAATCGACGCTGTTCTCTGGGCTTGACTCGACTTTTGATTCGGGTAAGTCATAACGTATAAAATTCCATTTAAAGAGTAAAATTAAGTTATGCCTAAAACTTGACATGATGTGATTTTTTTTAAAATTGTAGGCTTTGTTGATGGTGGAAACGAAGAAGCTGGTGTTGACGCGGGCCGTGACTGTGTCGAGGAAGCGGAGGCAGCAGAGCATTGCTACTGGCATCCCATAGAAACAGAGGGCACACAGTTCCCGGATCACAGTGATCCGGAAGTTGCAACATTTCCTTTACCGATTCAGTCACCAATTGACGTGTACTCTGCCATGGTTACTGACGATGTCATTGACCTGATAGTCACTGAGACCAACAGATATGCACTTCAGGCCCTTGGGGAAAAATCCACAGTCCGCTCAAGTAAATGGTTCCCCACAACTGCGGAAGAAATCAAGCGGTATTTGGGTATTTGCATAGTAATGGGACTATCAAAGCAGCCTAACGTTGAAGACTACTGGACAAAAAGCGATATTTTTGGAGTTCCTCTCATCAAAGACTGCCAAAAAGTGGAAAGTGAAACTTTCGAGAAGGTAGAAAAAGGTGAAATTGTGTTCAAGTGCGACAGCTGCACGTGTGCTGATAAGGTTAAGGAGGCCGCCGGGAATGAAAGCCTGAGCTCTGATGACTTATTTCTAGGTTCTGAAACCACAGTTGACTCAAAAACAACCACCATACTAGAACTTACTAGGTGCAACAAACAGCTAACTGACGAAATAACTGATCTCAAGCTCAAAGTTGACAGCCTGGAGAAGAAGATTGAAAAACTCATCAAGGTGACCAGTGATACAACCGAAAGGATGAATATCAACAATCTTTAAGTGATTCCACTTGCACAACAGGTGAATTCACACCCTGTGATAGCAAACTTCTCAAGAAATGTCATCATCATGAAAAAAGGCGACATTCTCGACGCACCAAAAGATGTGATCATAGCCCACTGTGTAGGCGCGGACCTACTAATGGGAGATGGTATCGCATCACACATCAAAAAGAAGTTCAAACTTGACATCAACTCGATCAGAGAACAAGCAAAAGTAGGAGAGTCATTACTACAGAAACAAGATGGAAGACACGTAATCCATATTGTAACAAAAAGGTGGACAAACAGCAACCCCACCTGGAAGAACTTCAAAAAAGCTGTACATCTGGCCCAACTCTGTGAGGAGAACAACATTCAGAAACTCTACATGACCAAAATTGGCAGTGGACTTGACAAGCTACATTGGCCTAGGGTAATGCGTCTGCTTAATGGCATCTTTGCCTTTAGTAAAGTCAGTGTTACTGTACTATATCTTGACCCTAAACAAGAAGGGATCTATAGATCCTCCATATAAAAAAAATGTAAGAATAAAATCAACTCCAATTGACGAGAGTCAAAAAATCTATATCATTGGAGCCAAGTTAGAGATTTGGGTAGTGTTATGACTAATATTTAAAAAGATAAAACCAAATGTTTCTCTCACTGTATACCTGGTGCTACGTCCCAGAACCTGACCAAAAATTTAAGCTCTCACATAGCCCATCTACAACCTAATGACACTCCGATATATATTGGAGGAACTAATGATATAAGCACTATTAATGGATCTATAATGCTCTCTAATGAAGAGAAGAATCTAGTCCTGTCTCATTCACTCCAATGTTCTCGTTGCAAATGTACCTAATCTGAAAGATAAACCCAAGCTTAATGAATACATAGATGGCTATAATAGTAATTTGTTTAAAGTTTTCAGTGAATTTAAAGAAAAATGTGACTTTTCTGAAAGGGTAAGAATCTTAGACTTCAATGCCATAATGAGGTATGATCTTTATAAGAAGTATGGGCTGCACTGCCAATCGAAGTGTGAGACAGTCTCTCACTATTCAGTGTGAACCACGATGTCCCACGCTTACAAGTGTGAGCAAGGGGTCCCCAACCGGCGAAAATCGGTGTACACGGGTGAAAAAGTAATTAAAAAAGTCACTAAAAGTCCAAAAAGTCACAAAAGTCAAAAATTAACGGAAAAGCCACCATAGAGTATCCAAAATGTCACGAACCAGCCTATATAGATGCTAAATTTCGGTTAACACTGGTGGAAAAGTAATTTTTTAAAGTCGAAGTCATTAAAAGGTAAAAAAAGTCATTAAAAAGTAAAAAAAAAGTCATTAAAAAGTCTGAAATTGAGAATAGTTCCAATGCTAAACAGTCGCAAAAAGTCAGAAAAGTTCATCAAAAAGTCAAAAAATAATCAAAAAATCACAAAAGAAGTCAAAAAGTCAGTGTACGCTCGCCGGCTTGGTTGGGGACCCCTTGAGTGTGAGCCATGTTTGCCCCACGCTTGCAAGTGTGAGACATCATTTGTCTCACGCTTGCAAGTGTGAGACATCATTTGTCTCATGCTTACAAGTGTGAGACATGGTCTGTCCCACACTTGCCGCCTATGGTTCCCTGTGGTTTAATGCCACAGGACCCACGCTCGTAAGTGTGAGACTAACCGTGTCTCACACTTGCAAGCGTGGGACGAACGTGGTTCACACATGTAAGCGTGAGACATCGTGGTTCACACTAAATAGTGTGAGACTGTCTCACACTTGGATTGGCAGCGTGAATCTTAATGACGATGGCAAATGCACTGTCGTACAATATACTTGAAATAATAAATGAAATGAGAGACCAGTCATTTCTCATTCAATAAGATACCAAAGGACAACTCAAAGCTGAATTTCCCAATACACAATCTGAAGCTAAGAGCAATAATAAATAAGAAATCTTATTGAGAGTATGCTAGCTGATAATAACCCAGATATTGCTGTACTCACTGAACACTGGCTAAAGCCTTTTGAAGCGGAACTGCAAACTTTCATGGACTATTCTACTGCTCTACAAATCAAAGATGTACATGGTATGCTCTAACTGGAGCATGCCTGCAAGCACGCTCTAGCTAGCGCATGCCTGCCAAGCATGCACTAACTAGTGCATACATGCCATGTACACGCTTCCTGATGCAGAAAACTCCCTATCCCTTATGCAGTAAATGTATGCTTCAGTTAGCGTGTACATGGCATGTGTGCACTAGCTAGTGCATGCTTGGCAGGCATGCGCTAGCTAGAGCGTGCTTGCAGGCATGCTCCAGTTAGAGCATACTTTGTACACTCTTCGATTTGTAGAGTGTATCTTCTTACTCTAGACTTAATGGTTAAGGGGGAGTGATTATAATAGTAAATAAAGAGCTCCAAAAGTATGTATCTGAAATTCAATCAATTAGGGATTGTTCCATTTCAAATGTAATTGAAATGGCAGCCATCAGAGTAGAAAAACAGGACCTCATACTCAATATTGTTGGGGTCTATCGACCACCGTCCATTGAAAACATAGACAATTTCAATACTGCTATGGAAACATTACAAAATGTAATACTTAATACAGCTAGAAACAAAACAGCAATATGTGGTGATTTTAATATAATGACATTCTCTCAACAAGTGAGAGGTCAAACATATTTATTGATCTTATTGATGCAAGTGAGTTCACTTTCACTATAGACAAACCAACTAGAATAATAGACACAGGCCCTTTCTGTATTGATAATATCATTACCTGTAAGAACCAAATTCGGCAGAATTAGAGCTCCTCCACACACATGCTGAAATTTCCCTCTTTCCTTGCGATATATAGCAGCGTGCCAGGGGAAGTTTTTGGCTGCCTCGTTGTCCAATCTGTTTGAGTTTGGAACGTGATGAAACGAGGCTGGGGCTTTTCCACACTCATAATCTGCAACATCGACAAACACACCCTAATTCTTCAAAAAGAAAACGTCCATAAAAAAAAAAATATCTGTGAATTACTCGAAACCAGGCAATGTCCTACACTGGAAGCCTTGACGCCAAAGTCAATTTTTTTTCAATAATTTTCAATTATCAAAGCAAGCTTCCAAGCACACTCTGATTTATAGCATTCACAGTACACAAGTTTGACGTGTGCCTGGCATATAGGCTGTAAATAAGAAAGTGCCTTGAGCTGGAGCATGCTCTAGTAAGAGTGCCCTTTGTACACTCTTAAGTTTCGTGAGCGCCCTGGCTCCAACGCAATCGCAATCATTGAAACCTGTATTTTCAAATGTTCTTACCTTTGACGCCCTGGCAGATTGAATAGCCACTGACTCCGCATTCGTCCACGTTGTGGAAATGATCACAAGCACGCAATCTTTTGCTAAATGCCGTGCCTGGTGGACAGTCTTTTACTGTTCGTTGTGCCTGCCAAATTCAAAGAAAAAATGCGATTTCAAGAAATCCTAGGAGTCACGAAGTCAATTTGATTATTGTGTAAGAGTGTGGAGAAAGAAAAGAAGTGGTGTTGTGAAGTTGTGGCTCAGGGGACTACCAATGGCAGTGGTACCAATGTGGTCGATGTGCCACCGGTCGAAATTTAAACTTGACAAAATAGAAATCAAAATGCTGGTAAATTCAAAAAATTTCAATGCTAATGTATTCCGCAGTGTTCTGACATTGGAACATCTTTAAATTTCATCATTATTAAAATGTTCTTGGCAGAAAGAAGGCAGTAAATTAATTTTCACGGGTTGGCAACTAGTTTCTCGGCGTCTGCGCCCTTGCGAAAATCGCGAAGCTGAAAGCACCAGCAGTCGCGCATTAAAACTGCCCATCCCCGTTGCTGACGTTGAATTGTTTGGCTTGTTTCAAAAGGCTACGGTTCTCTAGTCATGTTTTCTTCAATTCTGTGTAATAGTTCTCCCTTACAACCTATCAACACCACGACGGTTGGTTTGACAAACTTCATAAACTCGGGAGGGATGGTTTCGAAACGCGGGTGAGTCTTGTTCGAGGAACATGAGCACTGCAAGTCGCGAGGTGGAGCGAAGTGGTCCTAGTGCTAACTGAATCACAACAACAGCAAAATTGTTTTATTGACAGAAAAAAAAGGAATATTTGAGAAACTGTATGTCAGAAAAAAAGAACTTTTGTTTTGCTAATTTTCTGTGAATATTTTTTTAGAAAGTCGTCACACAAAAATTGAAAATTTGTTTTATATGAATTTTCATAAGCAGGAAACAAAGAAAAAACAAGAAAGAGAGCAAAATTAATACAGACTTCAAATGCTACAGTTGGTTAAACTGTTAACAGGTTGCAAACCTACTGCGCATGTCCAAAAACACTCCAATCAAAAAGTATTATTGGATAGTTCTACCCGAAAAACTGCGTTCGAACCGACACCAATTCTATTGTTGCATCTTGTCTACCTGCAGTCAAAGAAATTTTTCATTTCGAACGTGCTGATTTCAGCTTTTGGAGTAAGCTGTACAGACCCAAAAAGAAGCTCGGCCATTGGTCCGCCCCGGCTCGCCTCCCCCCACTCCCTTTTTTTTCCTTTGACGAGTCGAGTTTTGCCATCAAAAAGGCGATTTTGACAGCAAATTTCTTAAAATTGGCCACCAACTTTTTAACCAGATTTCAGCATGAAAATCAGCGTTCAAAGTTCTACAAGTCTGCAAAATCTCATTAAAATCGTATAGAAAATTTCCGAAATGCATAAAGGGCCACACAAATTGAATCTCGGGCCGGCTGAATCCTGGGTATACTATAAGGCTACTTCGTGCCTAAAAATAAACAAAATGACGGGTTACTCTTAGATTCACTGCAAATGCTAAAGCGATTTGGTGATACAATTGAGTATCGTCAATAAACGTCCTTACGGAACAGTATTGCCAAAACCACGGCATTTAACTAAGAACTCGTCCCCTTGATTTGATCAACGTTTATTGCCAAATCGTGGCAGTACTCCAAAGTATGGCCAAATTTTCGCGATACTTGCCTGTTCTGTAAGGCCGTTTATTGGCGATAATCAATTGTCTCGCCAAAAAAGGTAAAAGTATCGCCTTTGAATTCACAGTGTTTATAGTGGTGGAGGAGTCGCCTGAAAGGTACACGGTAGAAACGGTTCCTGGTTTTCCCAGGAACTCCCTGGAAATCGCGTAGGTCTCTACCATAGGCTTCCTGAGAAAACCAGGTTCGGTTTTTACCGTGTAGGTAAAAAGTCGCACATGTCCCCTGTGGGTAGGCAGCTTCCCCCCCCCCCCCCCCCCAAAAAAAAAAAAAAGTTCTCAAGCACTTCTGGCTGAGCGACAGCGAAGCCCGCTACTCCAGTGCAGTTAAAACCCTTTTTCTGACTGGGTAATTTTCAGGTCATACAAGACTTATGTGTTAACTTTAACTTACCCCCCAGCACTCAATAAATTTCGTGCAATGAAATGGGTGCTCGTATATAAGCCTCACGCCACTGGCACTGGCAGTCCTAGGGCATTGCGGAAGTCTGCCTCTCGCAGGCCCACGCGATGTTTCACACAACACTGAAACGAATCAAACACTGATTTAGTTGGTTCTGTTCACAGAACGTGCATGCTGCCCAGTTCGAGAAATCAACTCCGTGAAGATGGGTCATGCGCACTTCATATTTCTGCATTCGTGAATCTAGTTCAGAAGTACACTGTCATTCATTTTGCGATACTTTTACTACAAATTTTTGCGATAAAACCGAGTTTGCGATTGCAGTTTTAAAGTTGTTATCATAGCCAAAAAAATGTGATAAGTTTTTTTATTGCAAAATATAGAGAGTGGTTATCGCAGTTTGAATGACAATGTAGACTGACTTGTTCCCGCAGTACATACGGTACAAAGCAATTACATGACTTAGTAGGGAGGCCAAAAGGGTCGTTTTCTCAAAGTTTCGTCATGTCCATTCGCACCTACTTTTCAAATCGAAAAGCGTACAATATAAGCTGTTGCAACCTTGCACGGACGCTCTTGGTACACTGAAATTCGAAGGGTGAGACATCTGACCGATTTTCGGGGATACACAAAGTATGACCGAAAAACGGTCATTCACAAATGTATGACCGAAAAAGGGTCACACTTAAATGTATTCATACATGACCATAAAAAGGTCAAACATCAGCGAGACTGTCTATTGTTTGGCTTCGGGATATATCAGCCTTTACCTGTGATTCACTATAAAGTATGACCATTTTTCGGTCATACATCGAAGTATGACCCTTTTTCGGCCTTACATTTCAGTATGATCCTTTTTCGGTTGTAAATTTCAGTAAGACCCTTATAGTGGTCAAAAGTCTGACCTTTCTATTTTCAGTGTACGGTATGCCTGCCAAGCATGCACTAGGCCTAACTCGTAGTGCATTCATGCCATGTACGCGCTTCCCGTTGCAGACATCTCTTCTCCCCTGAGGCACTGAAATGCTTCAATTAGTGTGCACCTGGCATGTATGCTCTAGTCAGTACATGCTTGGCGGCATGCGCGGGATACAATGCTTGCTCTGTACTTAAAAGGGAGCAACCCATCCCAAGCTACCCCAGTTGTTCAAAGGAACCCCCGTTTACGGTAGCAAACTCTTTTACCTCCATTTGCAATGTCAACGCGAAATCAAGCCTTGGAAGACCTAGAAAAGAGAGAAGTTATTTTTAAAAAATTGTATACCTGCGTCTGTGATTCGCATCATGGGCAGCACTACCATTTTGGGAAATTTTTTTTAGCCCCAAAATTTTGGTGAGGAAGGTTTCCTCGCGCAAATTTGGGTGATAATACGTAGCCATACACGTACACTCTCTTTTCAGGGTGCCCAAGGTCGCCCAGTTTCTGGGCACCTTTGTGAGCAGTTCTCGCGAAATGGTTAATTTTGGGCCCTGAAACTTTTTGAAAAAAAGTTCAATTGAAACCGTTTTTTTTTCATTTATCTTTAAGAACATCACTAGGGATCATGGATTCATCGGGGGGAGCTATCACCCCCAAAAATATAGGAAATATCGCAATTTTTAAATTTTTTTTCCGTCCACGGAAATTACACAGCTAGAAACTGTCCCCGGAAATTACATTTTAAAGGGCCCCTTTGAATAGGTGCGATACGAACGCAAACGCCTAGCAGTTTAGGCAGCTCCCTGCACATTGTGCATTCTGGTTCCATGTTGCGTACCTCACAATAAAATTTCGGGCTAGACCACAATTTGATCGTATGCCGTTTCGGGCCCGACACATGCCCGCGTGCACTGCCAAACGGGACACGGCCGTCCTTACTGGGGTGCCACGTTATACTCGCGGAGAAGAACCTCGTGCGGCTACAAGGTCCCACTCGTAGTGTGACCAGTATGTGACGAGGTGTACATTCCGCCGCCCCATGGGGGGGGGGGCACCCTAGTACAGCCTCTTTGAGCAGGACTGGGTCCGGTGTCCACCTCTCCCGGCTTAATTCCCTTGTCTCGGGAACAACTGTGAATTCATTTTCTTCTGACCACGGTTGCATAGTGTTTACCTCCCAGGCGGTACCTCTCACACTTGGCAAATGATGGGCCCTAGAGTGGACAACGGAGGAAAGTTTCTCTTGATCAGTTCCTGCGTGTCTATGTTCGGAAGATATCAAATAATGGGTGCGATCAGTTGAGGAAAAGTTGATCGGCGGGTCGAGACAGCGGCCCGCTCGCGGTGCGGTCTATTTAGCCCTCCTGGAAGCATATCTGGCACCCACGTTTACTAACCTATTCGGAAAGATTTCTTTTTGAGTTTGAGGAACAGATTGCTGCAATTTATTCGATAAACTGGGTCTTAGCATTCAAACGGAAAGCTTAGGAAAAACGTCATGTTGCTTAACATATCGGTCAGGTTAAGTCCACCGCAAGTCTTAAATGGTCAGCTAGATCCCAAAATACAGCGAGCCTATTTTTCGCAAGACATTAAGCTTTCGGTTAAGCTTTCCGATCTGAATAATCAACGTTGAACGGTTTCACTGACTCGCAGTCACAACTGTCAAGGCAGTATGCCGGCCGCGCCGAACAAAGCAGCATAAAACCGCTTGGTTGTCCAGAAAATACAGTGTTTGACCAATCTGATGAGTGGAGTCGAAAGCTTAGACTCTTGCAAAAAGTCGGCTCGCTGCTCGTTTGGGTCCATTTTGTGACTTGCGGCGGGTTTGACCTGATGGATGTTGTGTTAAACTACGCCACGACTTTCCTCAGCTTGCCTTCCCATTCCCCATGCCCATTTCCCTCCAGGATGGCATTCCCTCCTTAGAGAGGTTTAAAACAAAAAAAATATCGACATACTTTAGAGCTGAGGCCCCTTGCGAGGCCAAAATCACGTGAAACGCAACGAAAACCTCATTTTGTCCACGGAAATTACAGTCCACGGAAATTACATTATTGCATAAAATGGGGTGTACAAGCCAAACCAGAAGTGCCACCGGAACCAAAATTTTACTGGAACAACTTGTCCACAAGGCAAACACACAAGGATTGGTTCGCAATCAAAATTTTGAATGGTCTGCAAGCAATGGGTGGAACGGAAATTACACTTATTGCTTGCTAGGCCAATTTTTTCGCCGCTTTGGAACTTATTTAACTTTATATTTTCCGTTCTAATGGTGCCACATTACTCCGCCACTTTGCAAATTGTGTAGAAAGAATGCACCAACAATATGAGAAAAGTTTCAGAACGGTCGCACATAAGGTAGAAAAACCGTCCCAAAAAAACCGATTTTAGACTTTTTGAATTTTAGTTGTGGAAGACAATTTTCGGAATCATCTTGTGTCTGCAAATTTTACCCGAGAGATACGTTCTACACGTCAAAACGTAGCCTCACTTGCGTAGAACAAAATGCACTTAGCGAAAGTGATTTCTCATACTCCCTTGGGCTGTAGTAGAGGCGGGAAGCCCCAAATCTGGAGCGTAGGACATCAAAAAGTGTCCACGGAAATTACATTCTAGGGTAAAACTTGCAATTTAACGGTAGAAGGAGGCAAAATTTCATCTTGATGAGAGTTGTACCTTGTCCGCAAGGTCAAAAAACATAAAGGTAGGAAAAGACCCGGTTAAAATCGACTTTAGGTTGGAAGAACCAGAGAGAGGACACGAAATTATCACATCTCGCGAGAACTGCTCTTGTCGCCCAGTCTCGGGGTGCACAAATCATACAGTAACCGGCTCTCTCCCATGGTAGAGGATGCACAGATGTCTAGTTCCTGGGTGACTAAGGTGTCCAGATTCTGGGCAGCTGTTGCACCTTAGGTGCTGCTGAGCCATGGGTGAAGGCAGGTTCCTTAATGGTTTGTCCACCCCGAGACTAGGCGACAGAGGTGCCCAGAAACCGGGCGACATTTAGCACCCTAAAAAGTGGAGCGGGCGACAAAGGCGCCCAGTTTCTGGGCACTCCATATTTAGAGTGTAGTTGAGACATTCTTCCTTGACTAAATTTGGGTGATCGATCAAGACTTTCATTCTCAGTGAGACCTCGCGATGCTTCACTGTTGAAGAAGGTTATTACATGACAACAGAATTACCAAACTAGACAACGCTGTTGATAAAACGCAAATTTCTTTATTTAAAAAGAACGAATTTGTTGCAAATTTTTTTTCTGACTCTTGATGTTCTAGAACAATCTTTTGCTGTGTACAAACAACCCCAACAAACCAATTAGTGGCTTCTGCCGGTCACCGGGACTCAACTAGATCTGGGACTCTATCGGCAATCAAAATTGATCCTCATAAGCCTGTCTACTGGATTACAAACATCTTGTTGACGAACAACGTAAGTCATCAGTTAACAACTTAAGTCGTCTGTAAACAACTTTGATCACTCACAAAATTAGCAACATATTTACTGCTAAATTACAACACTGTTTTTAACAGTGTGCTCCATGCACAACGATCCACGCCTGGCGTTAAGGTGAGGTGTGGGTGAAAATGGAAACTTCCATACCACTTGGCTGTGGTGGTTGAAACTTTAGGGCGTTTAAGTACTAGGTAGGAAACTATGACACACCAAATTTCATCCAAATCTACCCACCCATTTAGCCACAGTAGGATTTTTTCATTGAAATTAAGCGTTTAGTAGAAAAATCAGCCACGCAAAGTATTTTGACGGAATGATCTGATATTTGTTTTGGAGTTACCTAAACCCTTGTACTTCAACGTAACAGAGAGATATTTGAATTTTATTATTTCGTTTGGACTGAGCAGACTTCACAATTTTTTAATTGGAAAAAATTAGTTTTTTTCTCCATTTTTTACCACTTTAAGGTAAACGATTCTAGAAAGTGGATAGCTATTTAAAATATCTCTCTGTTACATTGTCACATGGACCACAAAGAACTACTCCAAGAAGTATGGTCAGTGTAAAACAAAACTGTATGCGTGGCTAGTTGACGGAGTAGAAAAACAAATTCTTCGACACTTGTCGTAAGAGTTGGGTGACCAGAGAAGGCGCATGCATACATCAGTCCATGTTAGATGAACCACTCACTTAGGGGTTCATAACAAAGAACTTTAGGACATGCTGTCAGTAATAGAAAACTATTTTACATTTATATAACAAGTGGATTAAATTTATCATTTTAATCAATTTTGGTGCAAATTTTCACCCACACCTCACCTTAACTCCTACCTGGCCTGCGGCGTTTCATGTGCCTTCGACAGGCCAGGCACACATCGGCATGATCGCAGCGCGGCTCGAAACATCATTCGTAAAAGTATCGCGAATGGGTGAAATCTTATACAAACGTTGATATAGAAACTTACGGAACCTTCGATGTATTTTTTCCCATTCATCTCTTACGGTGCTGGGGCGAACGGAGGCATCAAACAACCTCCAAACATGAGGGCCGATTCTTCCGACTGATCTTACTCCTCTTCCGAGGCGACTTGGTCCTCACAGCACATTCAGAGTGTCTCGTGGACTCCCACTGCCCGTGACCTTGCCCAACGGGAAGCAGGGGGGTTCCCCGTCGACCCTGGGCCGGCCGTGGCCCGAAAACGCCGCATTGCCTCGTGGACGAAACTGGTGTTATCAGGCGCCAGTGCAAAGCCAAACAAAAACGAGTTCAGTAACCCGGCCGGCGTCCGGGGGATTCCCAGAAAAGTCGCCACGCCCATTGTGCACCCCTGAGCGCAGTTAGCCTTTCGAATCTAGTTACTTTGCCCTACCTACGTTTGTTCTACAGTATCATATCCTGTATAAACGACACCTTTTCACCTACTATCTTTTCTCCTGCCGCTACCTTGTCGTACCCAATTTATCACTTTTCCCCTCCATCTCTTCCCCTTGTATCCTGAATGTTTTTTTACTGGTGCTTTGCATCACACGGAGTTACTGCGGGTGTGAGCTTACTCATCATCGACCCTGCATCTACGTACCGGATGAAAACTTGTAATGAATGTTGTACAAAAGTTGTATTTGTACATTGAACAATCGTGTACAAATTCATTGACCGCGACACTGATTTTACTTTGGAATGGTTTATAATCACAATGCTTACTTAGTGCGTCGTCCTTGACAAATTTTATTTCGACTGATATAAATAATTCTGATCTACATCTTAACAAACGAAATAGGGTCTTGTTGGCCGAGCGATAGCGAAGCCTGTTACTTCAGTGGGGTTGAAAAGTTATGTCTGTCTGTGTGTCCGCACTACTCCTCCTGAACGGCTCGGCCGATCTCAATGAGATTTTGCACACTTTTTGGGTATGTCCTTGGCTCGGCACACGCGAAATTTCACTATCCTAGCTCAACTGGTACAGTTTTTATAGCCGAAAAACACCTAAAAAACGGCGAAAAATAGAGCTTTCTGCAGATAGGTCACTTCTGGCTTGGAGAAAGGGGGGTCTGGGGGGCGGAGCCCCCCAGCCTCGACAAGTTAAAAAGCGACAAGGGTCAAGATCGTGTTATCTGTAGATAAAACAACTCTATTTAGAATGTAGGGGGGTCTGGGGGGCGGGCCCCCCCCGCAATCAACAAGTTAAAAAATAATCGACAATGGACGAGCCATTGCCTGCCGCAGGCAGGCTAGCGCCGCAGGCCAAGGTAGGTACTTACGCCAGGCGCGGATTGGAGAAACAGGCAGCGAGACATCGCGAAGCCTGTTACGACAAGACGCGGTCTGGTCGGCCGATCTCAATGAGATTTTGCACACTTTTTGGGTATGTCCTTGGCTCGGCACACGCGAAATTTCACTATCCTACCTCAACTGGTTCAGTTTTTATAGCCGAAAAACACCTAAAAAACGGCGAAAAATCGAGTTTTCTGAAGGCAGATCACTTATGTCTTGAAGAAGGGGGGTCTGGGGGGCGGAGCCCCCCAGCATGCATCAAGGTAGAAGTAACCGACGATGGACAAGCCATTGCCTGCCGAAGGCAGGCTAGCGCCGCAGGCCAAGGTAGGTACGCCAGGCGCGGATTGGAGGAACAGGCAGCGAGACATCGCGAAGCCTGTTACGACAAGACGCGGTCTGGCGTAAACCTACCTTGTTTAATTTAGAGTGCCTTTTCAGTCTTATTTTTCAACGACAGGAGTCGTTACCTTTTTAACTTCTGAGACGTTCTGGATCAAGACGCTTCCTAATTTTTGTTGCGTTTAACATTCAAACACCTGGTTATAACAAGGTAGGTGTACGCCAGACTGTGTCTTGTCGTAACAGGCTTCGCGATGCTGCGCCAGTTTCGACAACCCACGCCTGCCGTATACACCTACCTTGGCCTGCGGCGCTAACCTGCCTTCGGCAGACTGCCTTCCTTGGCAGACCGTGGAAATGGGCGTCATCCCCTCAAAAAGAGCATGTGCTCATCAAAATCTACACTAATGGGGCTAAACTTTCGGTCGGAGGTCTGAATGGGTTCGATTTTCGTCATCAGCAGCCTCAAAAACATTTAGAACGACATTGAACTTGACAAAAAATTGAAAGTTCCGAAAAAGTTGTCTTTTTCCTGCCATTTTTAAAGTGTTTTTTGGCTTATATGACCGAATGGATTGAGATAGAAAGCTGAATTTTGGTGTGTGGCGAGCCAAGGATATGCCCAATGACCCTGCAAAATCTCAGCAGAATCGGCCGAGCCGTTTAGGAGGAGTAGTGCGGACACACAGACACACACACAGACAGACAGACAGACATGAAAAACTTTTCAACCCCACTGGAGTAACAGGCTTCGCTATCGCTCAGCCAATGAGTTTGATGCTTCTTAACAAGAACTTGTTTGTCATCTTTGTCAAACTAGTGACACATTGTGGTTTGTTGATTTCCACGATTCCTTGTCACATAATACCTGACCAATATGGAACGTTATAAAATAATCAAACAGATTACCAGATGGTGTTTTAAAGATTTGGTTACATTCAGTCATGTGTTTTTGTTTATTTTAGTTTAGTCGTGTCTTCTATAAGTCTCCAATGTCCAGTATTTCAACGTAAACTGTTGGTCTGCGCACTTATAACTTCCTAGGCTCATACATTATAGAGACTAAAACCAACCTTTATAGCTTGAAAATTTTTAAAAGAAATTACTAAAATTTCTAAAAAATATATCTATTCCCATCCTAATTGGCTGAGCGATAGCGAAGCCTGTAACTCCAGTGGGGTTGAAAAGTTTTTTCTGTCTGTCTGTCTGTGTGTCTGTCTGTGTGTCTGTGTGTCCGCACTACTCCTCCTGATCGGCTCGGCCGATCTCTGTGAGATTTTGAACACTCTTTGGGTATGTCCTTGGCTCGGCACACGCGAAATTTCACTACCCTAGCTCAAATGGTTCAGTTTTTATAGCGAAAAAACACCTAAAAAACGGCGAAAAATCGAGTTTTCCGCAGCTAGATCACTTCTGTCTTGGAGAAAGGGGGGTCTGGGGGGCGGACCCCCCAGCCGCGACAATTTTAAAAGTGACAAGGGTCATGATCGTGTTATCTGTAGATAAAACAACTCTATTTAGAATGTAGGGGGGTCTGGGGGGCGGAGCCCCCCCAGCATTCAACAAGTTAAAAAATAACCAACAATGGCCAAGCCATTGCCTGCCGCAGGCAGGCTAGCGCCGCAGGCCAAGGTAGGTACTTACGCCAGGCGCGGATTGGAGAAACAGGCAGCGAGACATCGCGAAGCCTGTTACGACAAGACGCGGTCTGGCGTAAACCTACCTTGTATTCTATATTTTAGTTACATTTTATAATTGTTTCTGTGTCTTCATATCGAATTGCAGTGCTTGACTTATCTTTAAACCATGCCTGAAATGCAAAATTATTGCAAATTGTAGTAAACTTTCAACTTGCTTGTCATTGTGTATAAAAATGTGACCAGAAACTACATTTGCTTTGTGGATTGTGCTGAAGATACAAGTGTAGGCAGATCTTCAGTAGTAGACTACAGAATTAAAGAATTAATAACTTCCCTTTAAAGTACAGACCGTACTCAATACCTAGTTAACAAATAACAGTTCAGATAGAGTGCAGTTTTAAAGCACAGCAACCTTCAGTTCCAGGAGCAAACTGTACAACTGTACAACTGTACAAGTTCTGAAGTTTGTTCTTACAAAAAACTGCAGTCAGCAACTGCAGTTTTGGCACTGTAGTTTAAACTGTAGTTTCACTACAGATCCTTCCACGCGGGCAAATTAAGGGGGGACCCTGGTGAAAAAACCATCAAAATTGCCAAAAATAGTATTTTCAAAGTTCATAGGTAAAAATGTGCATAGAAGGTATCAGATTCAAAAGGTTGAACACCTTTAAGCTGAGTAGGTATTTTCTTCATAATTTGGAAGGAAATAACATTGAGATTTGGAGTCGTTGGCTTCTACGCTCAACTTCACAGCTTTGCTCAGTCGACTAAAAATTTTGTCGTAGAAAGACTTCCTGCGTTCCTGGTTGACACCTACATGAGTAGTCTTGCATGGACTCTATTCATTGATGACTTGTCGACAAATTTTAGTGACGGAATCTTGTTAACAGCCCTACTTTTTTTTTACAAACACCTTAAAGTTTGAAAAAAGGGGGGAAAATCCCTTTTTTAAAATGTTAAAATTTGAAAACTTATATCTCAGGACAGCAGTTGAATTTGAAAATTCCGTCACTAAAATCTCTTCTTTACATCTTTAGGATAACCCAAAAAATTTTTCAAGACTCTCTGTTCCAATGAAAGACGCAGGAAGATTTTTCCCCAACGCTCTACAAAACACTGTTAAAAATTATGTTGTAATTTAGCAGTAAATATGTTGCTAATTTTCTTAATGATCAAAGTTGTTTTCAAATGACTTTCGTTGTTTACGAACGAGTTGCGTCGTTCGTCCACAAGATGTTTGTAAACCGGTAGACAGCCTTATTTGCATCAATTTTTATTGCCGATTAGGTCACCGACCTAGTAGAGTCCCGGTTACCCCGCAGTTACCACTTCTTAGATTGTCCGGGTTGTTTGTACGCAGCAAAATATTGTTTTGAAACAGCATAAGTCATAAAAATAATTAGCAACGAATTCGTCGTTTTAAAACAAGCAAACTTGTTCACAAACACTGGAGCATGCCTGCAAGCACGCTCTGGCTAGCGCATGCCTGCCAAGCATGCACTTATTAGTGCATACATGCCAAGTACACGCTTATTGAAGCTTGCGTCTGGATAGAATAAAATAGGATAACATAAGATCAAAAGACGTTGAAAAAACAACTTCGCACGATGTAGGGTCAATTGGACGAAAATTCGAATTTTGGTCCATTTTTAACACTTTTAGGAATAAAATTTTAAAGCAAAAAAAAAAAAAAAAAAAATCGTGGTCAGAAACTTCTTTTAGATTGCTTTGTTTCTTTCCTCAAAGAACAAGGATCTTCAGTTCTTCTTATAGCTCACAATGCACCAAGGTGAAATGAATGCAATGAATTTCGAAACACACAATTTAAATTTAAATTTGTATTTCCTTGCGAAACAGATCAAAGGTGAGGTAATCATCCAGGACCGCGGCGTCGGGCTGTTACAGCACTTTCGAAGCTTAATCACTTAACACTTGGGTTATTTCGCATCCAAGCCAATAACATATGTTAGGATTTATTGATTGTCTTAATCAGACGAACCGATTTCTATAAATATGTGTCAGTTTTGTCCATTTTGATATTCCACCCAAACCACTTGCATGTATCCAAAGTCGACGCGCGTGTAACAAACGTCAACGCAAAAGCTACGAAAGTCGACGCGCGTGTAACAAACATCGACTCAAAGTACGCTTTCAACATTAAAGCCATTTTGAACTACACTGGGGCGAATTATAGGCTTCAATATTTCGTAGGGACCATTCTACAGTCATCTTGAATGTACCTGCGAAATTTCATCCGAAGCCGCACATTAAAATCTTGGCAATACCCTGCCTCAAATTCCCACATCTCGGTGAACCAACCCACATCGCTTCATTTCCTATTATTTTCCTTACAACAATGTCGTCAAAAAAATTGATGACATTGTTGTCACGCCCATGCAATAAGTATAGGAGATTTGATGAAAATGTCACCAATTTGTGATGAGATTGTCATCCACGTTTTTGTCATAAAGTGACAACAAATTAACAACACTTTACCCTAGTACCCCCAGTATAAATCGAGGGGTCCTATTCAAAAGATCTTATCTGGGCGTTCTCCCGAAAACAATCTTATCTTTAACGCAAGCAAATCCACTCATTTTGATCAATAGGGTGCTTCGGAGAAACCCCAGACCGGAAGTCAGCGACAGAACGGGAGAAACAAAAGAGCGCCGTCAGGCCCTCACCGCTCAGGTGGTGGGGGTCGAAATCGGCGGAGTGGGGATGAAGGCGGCGCGCGCATGCTGCCCCCACCCCGTCGATTTCGATCCCCACCACCGCTCAGCACGGCCTGACGGCGCTCTTTTGCTTCTCCCGTTCTGTCGCTGAATTCCGGTCTGGCGTTTCTTCGAAGTACCCTAATGGGGGGGGGGGGTTACGACAGTAAGCGGAATATATTTCTACATGCTGTTTTGGTTTCTTTGATCTCCTATCTTCAGAATTACGTTAACAAAATCACAAATTATATTGAAATGTAGCTGTATTAAATGATCCAACTAAGTGAAATTCACCTGCGTGTAAGATAAGATTCTCTTGGGGGAACGCCCACAAGATCTTTTAAATAAGGACCCCTCGAAATGAGAACGTGACGCGGAACGCCCCGCCCCGCGAGGGACGGGCTGAAGTTGCCGATTTGTACAGCCACTTCTACTCATTCTTAATGTAAACATTCGGTACAGCTGGGAATCCCCGTTCACCTCAGTGGGTCAGCCAGGCTCGGCCTGTCCATATCTCGAAACGATAAGCCAGGCTGAGGTGTACGCCAGACCGTGGCTTGTCGTTACAGGCTTCGCAATGCTACGCTAAGTACGTCAATCCACGCCTGACGTTGACACTTAAGGGAGTGTGGGGCGATTTGTAACAGATTTCGGAATTCTCTATGCAAAAATTAAGAACATTCTGCATATCGGTGTCAAACTTGTGCCAGTTGAGCAGTCTGGCCCTTCATCTAGACTGTGCAGCTTCATTGGATCAATCTGGAGTCCGTAATCTTTGAAATCTAAGACGCTTTCCAGACCTTTGCATGCTGTTACGAATCGCCCCAGCATGGGGCTTTTCATAACATCCTTCACATTAAATGAAACATCGTCGGGAATGTTACCTCTTCCAGTAGTTCTTCGGATGTCCTGCACTCTAGAAACTGAAGAGATTGCACGGCATGCTCCACCTAGGAGTCAACCACAAAGCCGACTCTTCCCAAGAGCACCTCGCAAGCACACGGTTCTGAGTAGAGATGGGCGAACATGTTCGGATCCGAGCGAACTCGAACGATCCGAACAAAAATTTTGTTCGTTCGGGGACGAACAAAAAGTGCTCGACCATGAACTGTTCGGAAAATTTCGAGTTAGTCTGTTCGTGGCCGAACAATTTCTTCGCTAGTTAGCGTTGCAAGACGCTGGATTGCACACAGACGCGGCAAAAGAGCGCACCATGAAAACTCTTTCATTATTTCATCTGTACTTTGAAAGCAACGTTTCATGAATATAGTTATGCAATAAATATTAAGGACTGTTCGAGTCTTGATCGTTCGACTCCGAACAGTTTTGTGTTCGGATCGATCGGTTCGAGAAAATTTCTGATTTGTTCGGATCGGATCGGATCGAATTATTTTTTCAATTTCTTGTTCGTGTTCGCTCGAATCCGAACAGAGCCTGTTCGCCCATCTCTAGTTCTGAGGCCTGAGTGACTCAAAAGTCGAGGAGCCAACTTTCACATCAGGATTTTCCTTTTTTGAAGATGCCGTAAATTTCCCCTAAATCCCCCCAACACGAGTCTCTTCTGCTTCATGACTTTCATCCCGTTTTCAGTTGCACACAAGCACTCTTTTCCCCTGCCATTTCCCTACTGATGTGCGGTTGCTGGTAAATTAAAATCACTAGATTTTCGCTTTTTTTTGGAGAGAGCTTTGCCTCGCTTTGTATTTGGCTGCAAAGTATGCCTTCCTCTTCAACAAGTGTTTTCATGGAGACTTGGAGGGCTTCATACCTCTTCTCAAAAGGGCAGGAAATGTCTATAATGCAAGCACTTTTGTGCTCCTCATCGATCAGCACGAGGTCTGGTTTCAGGTTGCTGCCCGCGCCTGGGACAGTCTTCTCGGTGCGGAGGTTCGCGGTTGAGAGCATGGCCTCCACCAGGTGCTTGATGACACTCCTGTGTCGGTTGCTCCAGTAGACCGATTCCGCAGATCGTTCAGAGGGGCTTGAGATGGAGTGGAGTGGTGTTCTGGCCCCTGCTCGGGTCGGCACGGGCGCTTCGGGCGTGGTAGTGATCGGGTTCGGTCGACGAGCGACTGGCGATGGCTGCTACAGGTGGCGCTGCGGCCAGGGTTCTACGAGCGTTCGTTTGTTTTGTTGTTGGGCGTTGCGCCGTTGCGCCTGCGCAGATCACAGAAAGCGAGAGCCACAGTTGGCCGTTAGCAGCCGTTAGCCGTTGCACGTTTCGACGCAGAGTCTGATCTTATCTGATCTAATCTTCACAATATTCTTATTAACATCTTTACAATGGGTAAGTTTATCACTGGCATTCGAGTGGCGTGATTTCGTTTGCGGAATCTTTATTATTTCCGTTTTGGGTTTTATTTGGTAGGTTCGGGATTCCGCTTGAGATCCATCCCGCTGCCCGCTGCCGTCGGGCCGGTGGTCGGAGAAAAGACTCGCCCTACTGTTGTAATTGTTACCTTAGTTTGCTCAACATTATTGCCAATGTAGCTTACCTTGCGATGAGGGAGGCACTTGTCAATTTGCCTTTCGACTCTGAGCCTAGTCTTTAACCTCACCCTGACGCTCTGGCCTCGCATGGCATGCCTCGGTAAAAGCTGAACCGTAACTTAATTTTTTTACATTTTACTGTCTTTTGCCGGAAGACGGTTTGTCCAGTGTTATTTTATCGAAGGTTTTTTTAGTTTTCAAGGTTTGTTTGTAGCAGAGTCTCGAATCGTGCCCCTGGCAAAGTTTTCAGTTGTGTCCTATCTTCCCTTGTTTTCCATGTTTGATTATTTCGTTTTGGGTGTGCTATTCGTGGCTTTCGTGCCTGGCACCTCGTCCTCAATTCGCTGAACACATGTAACATCAAATTTCGCGAGTGTCGTCATTATGCGCTGAAACAACTTCTGCATATGGTATTGTCTGTTTCCACATTTATTTATGTGTTTGAATGATTTTGTCAGCAGCTCGTCCCTCTCCACAGCAGTGGACGGCCCTCCTTGGGCTTATTGCCAATGACGCAGAGCTGGTTCATGGAGAGTTTAAAGGACCGTTGGGTGTAGTAAGAGTGCGCAGGAGGTGGGATGAAATCGCTCAGATTCTCAATGCGATGCCTAACGCCCCAGTACAGCGGGACGGAGAGAAGTGGAAATCTGTATGATAAGTCATTACATTATTTGTATGAAATTCATCTAAGCCTGGTGTTTTACATTACATTCTCAATTACAGACCTGGATAAGTCTAAGGGGCAGAGCAAGGGAAGCCTTCCGCCTGCTGGCTAAATACCGAGCTGGAACAGGGGGAGGCCCACTTGCAGAATTTGTTGGCCTTGGCCTTTCCCCCCTTTATGAGCAAGTCTTAAGTATGACTGGCACCAGGGCTGCAGTTGGCAGCAACTGCCCCAACCCTCTGCAGGTACGTTCGACATTATACTTCATTGTCATTTTGCTTCTCTTTGACTGACTTCGGTGTTTTGATCAGATACAGTTGAATATTGCTGCTGCAGCCCAGCAAAATGTGGTCCATCTAGTCCTGGGCGAAGAAGGGCCTGGCCCTAATGTAGTAGCTGAGGCAGCTGGGGAAGGTGCACTGCCAGCACCTGTTGGTGAACCTCCTGTCATGATGCCAGCAGCAGGCCCTAATGATGCTGAGGCAGCTGCGGAAGGTGCACTGCAAGCACCTGTTGGTGAACCTCCTGTCATGATGCCAGCAGCAGGACCAAATGAAATGGACCACAGGTACAGTTTAAACCTGTCTGTAATATTTTAAAAGTGTGGTGGTTCGTCAATTTTTACTCTGTTCCTATGTTTTCAGAACATTATTGAAGATTATGATGTGGATAATTTTGCATTCCTTTGGCAGCCATTCCAGAACGGTTTTGCTCAACCTGCTGTTGCGGGCCTTGTGGTAAGATGATCAGATTAGGGCCAGGGACAGGTGAAAAAATGATCTCAGAAACTGCTGGTCCAAAACTTCTTATTTTCTGTCAAAATCTTACTCTTGATGATAAACTATTTCACCCAACATCCCATCCCATAATATCAAGCGGTTCCTGAGATACAGGCTTTTTTATAATTTTTTAAGTGTTTGTTAAAAAATTCCTGTGCGTTTCCCATTTTGGGTTATTGACCTGACCGACATATTTTTTTGTTCGTCTAAGTCCAAAGAACAAACGCAAGTGACAGATTTTAGTTTCCGGCACTGATAGCAAAATACCAACTTTTCAATTTTGACATTTTTCAAAAACCAAAGATTTTCCCTTTTTTTGTAAAAACCGATATCCAAAACCATACTTCTGGGGTGGAATATACAAAAACTGTCACTTGCGTTTCCTCGCAATAACCTACTGAGTCAGTGGAAAAAATATCATTGACGACACTTCAAACTGTATGCGCACAGGACCATTCAAATGTTAAAAAAATGTCTTCGGAGAAAAGGGCGTTTAAAGTTTGGTGACAGATTTTAATGGATTTTCAGCCAAAAAAATCTCCTTGCGCATACTATTTTGTCGTAAAAGGTTGACCTGGATATTTTTCACTTCTTCGATTCATTTTTAAAAGATCCCAGCATGCACAACTGAAAATGTCCATTACATTATCATTGGCAAGCTTCTAAAGCATGCATTTCACTTAAATTGATCAACAATGTACAAAATAGACAAGTTTTAGTGACTTCTTAGATGAAAAAAGCATGTGATTACTAATATAATGGAAATTTTGAACTAGGCATGCTGGAATCTTTTTAAAATGAATCGAAGAAGTGCAAAATGTGAAGATAAGCCTTTTACGTCAAAATAGTATGCGCAAGAGGATTGTTCAAGATACGGCTAAATAAAGCCAAAACAGTCCAAAAAAGACAATTCGACTGGGTTCAAGACCTAGCATATGCCTTCAAAAATCAAATCTTAGTCTCTTTGAAGTATGATTTCATATTCCCAACAAATTATGACAGTGGGGTTCATTTTGAAAATGGCAAGATTTTCGCTAGAACCCCCCCCCCCCCCCCCTTGATGGCAAAACGGACAATTTTACTAAAGTGTCGTAAATGCAGGAGTGTGCAAAAAGATGTATTTTAAGCACTTCCAGGTCCCGGATAGTCGAAGTCCCGACAGATCCTGAAAGAGGAAGGTCCAAAGGACCATTTTCCACCCAGAACTCATTTCATTCAATTTCACCAAACTTCTTCATTTTTTCACCTGTCCCTGGCCTTAAATAAGGACTGAACTTCAACTTTGCAATGATGTATTTTTAATAAGTTGTCCCATTTCTGCAGGATGTTGAGGAGGCCCAGTGTCATGGGGAGGAACTGGGAGTAGAGCCTGGGGTGAGATGAGTTCATTTTTCCTGACTGTGGTTGAGATGTGTGATATGCGTACTTATTTTTGTCTTTGTTTAATGACAGGTTGTGAAGGAAGAGCCCACCGTGGACTCTGATGAAGCTGCTGCACCTTCGGTATTTGTAACATTTTTGTTTTTTGTCTGGTGATGAAATGTGGTGTCAATGTTTACTCATTTCAGTTGTGCTATTATTGCAGGTTGTCAAAGTTGAGCCTATGGATTTTGGAGCAGGTGCTGCGGGTCCACTGGTAAGACACGTTACATTTTCGTTATCCCTTGTTGGTATAATTATGCGTTCAATCAATATATATATATATATATATATATATATATATATATATATTTTATATATATATATTTTATATATATATATATATATATATATAAAAACCCCTATGTGACTATGAAGTGGTCACCATTGATGATGTGAGTATTCTATGAAGCTCGTTGACCTTGTAAGCGTATCTTACAAGTTACACAAATTTTTCAAATACTTTCCCTTGAAAAAATAATGTCACGTTTTTTTTTCTTTTGCAGTCCCCCTTGAAACCAGTTTTCCACACCCCACCAAGGGATTCGAGCCTCACTCCATCTTACAAGAGGCGAAACTTTGGGCGCCACCATAGGCGACTCTGTGACGATTTTAATGATGAAGAAGGTAAATTTGCAGTTCAACTGATTTTTTAGTTCCTATTACTTTCTGTAATGCAGAATTTTTTAATATCTACTGTGCTTGTTTTAGGTCCCACTACTTCAGCTCCTCAAGAGGATCTGAATGACCTCATCATACAAAATAAAATCATCTTGAGGGAATTACTGGAAGCGATCTGGGCGCTTGAAAAGTAACTGCTGTTTTCTTGTTGCTCGCGTTAGAATTGGAGTTGCACTTTGTGCTGTGAATTAGTGAGTGGTGAAGTTCCAGCTTTCATTTGGATCAAATTGTGAATCCTGTGAGGTGTGCCATCTTTTACCCTTGCAAAATGGAAAATATATGGGCACTGTATGGACAAAATATATGGCCCAACATGTATTGATGACATATGTGGAAAAGATAATTTAGCAAGATACTTTTCCGATATAAAAAATATGTGGCAAATATATAAATTTCATACATTGGTCTATATGTAGGCAATATGTAGTGTGAATACACCATAGAGTCTAACGACTCAGAGACTTCGTTTACTCTTATAAAAGAATGTAAACTTCGCCTTCAGAGGACATCCAATTGTGGTCGTACCGTGGTCTCTTCGAAGAACTTTTCGCGCTACGCCCAAAAAAGACGTTTAAAATTTCCGAACTGTTCCAGTTCACTTGTTAAACAGGATTTCTCAAAATTTCTTGGAGACTTAAACGCATGGAAAAGAACCTTTCCCCTGCTCAATATATGGCGTCAATATATTTTACAATATAAAATCATGTTGAGAAATATAGCCACCTTTCAACATCCAGTGCCAAGATTTTGAGAAAAGTTACGTGAAAAGTCTGCCCTCCTCACCCTGCCCCATCCCAAGACGGGGACCGTGTCAGATATTGAAACATATATTTCGCGAAGATAATATTATATGGGGAAATATATGCAGTATATATTAACGGGCACCAATATATACCCCCATCTATAAACCACGTATTGCGCAAGATAATTTGCAATATATTGAGCAAGATACAATTATATTGACAATGCATGAAACATATATGGAGTCATATACTGACACATATTTTCCATATATTTTTCCTTTTTGCAAGGGTAGTTTTTTGTTTCATTGTTCATTTTATTGACAAGTTTTGATTGTGTTGTGGCAGTTGTTTGACTGACTTTTAGTCCCTTGGATACAAGTGAGGGTCTTGAGTGAGATCTCCTTTCAATCATCGTGTGTTGAATTTATATTTGCAGTCGCTTTGACTGACTTTCAGTTCCTTTCACAGGAGTGTCTGACTGTGACCTCCCATTATTTTGATAAATGTTCGATTTCATTGTTTGACGCAATATATTATTCATGAAGGAATTATTTAGTGGTCAGGTTTGTAAAAAAATTACTACGGATTTTTTTTAGTCGAAAGAATCTGAGTTGCACCTTGTGCTGTGCATTAGTGAGCGGTGAAGTGTCAGAATTCATTTGAATCATAATGTGAAATCCTGTGAGTTGTGCCATTTTTTCGTTTTTTGTTTCATTGTTCATTTTATTCACAAGTTTTGATTCTGTTGTGGCAGTTGTTTGTCTGCTTTGACTGACTTTTAGTTCGTAGGATTTAAGTGAGTGCCAGAGTGAGACCTCCTTTGAATCGTTGTGTGTTGAAATAATATTTGAAGTTGTCTGCTTTGACTGACTTTCAGTTCCTAATAGGAGTGTCTGACTGTGACCTCCCATTATTTTGATAAGTGTTTGATTTCACTGTTTGACAAAATAGGAATTACTCGAAGTGGTCAGGTTTGTGAAAAAAATTAGTACTGCAGTGTTTCTGTCAGAAGAATCTGAGTTGCAGCTTGTGCTGTGCATTAGTGAGCGGTGAAGTTCCAGTCTTCATTAGAATCATAATGTAAATCCTGTGAGCTGTGCCATTTATTGTTTTTTGTTTCACTGTTCATTTTATTGATAAGTTTTGATTCTGTTGTGGCAGTTATGTTTGTCTGCTTTGACTGCCTTTTACTTCATTTAACAGGAGAGTCTGATTTTGACCTCCCATAATTTTGATACTACTTGTTTGACTTGTATTTGTGTACTGATTACCTACTTAAGTATCCCTCAGTTTTGTGCATTCTTTCAATGTTCCTTTTCTTCACACTCTAATACGGTACCAATATAATATTTTTCACTGCGCTTACGGAGTATTTGATTGATTATTCACCTCATTCCAATGTCAAAACGTTGTGTCATTCCTGAATTATAGTTATATATACTTATTGTTGGTTTGAGTTTCTAAATTTCTTTAATATCCTGATTGACAGTGATTAGTGTAGTGAGCCAGGGGTGTGTAGATAGATAGACTTCAGAAGAAAAAAAAAAGGTTTAGGCCTCAGAGCCGTTTGGATGAAGTTCGTGGCACTTCGGGCACGAGGCGGGAAAGAGAACCCGTGTGGGGAATGCTTTCATACCAACTTATGGTAGTTCTTTTAAAAAGTGTTGAAGCGATAATTAACAAACCAATACATGACGTCATTGGTTCAAACGGCTGCCTCGTTCAAGAATTAAGTCATTTTAAGAAATTGTTGGCTGAGCGATAGCGAAGCCTGTTACTTCAGAGCGGTTGAAAAGTTTTGTCTGTCTGTCTGTCTGTCTGTCTGTCTGTGTGTGTACACTACTCCTCCTGAACGGCTGGGCCGATCTGGCTGAGATTTTGCAGGCTTATTAGGTATGTTCTTGGCTCGGCACACGCGAAATTTCACCATCCTAGCTCAACTGGTTCAGTTTTTATAGCCGAAAAACACCTAAAAAACGGCGAAAAATCGAGTTTTCTGCAGGCGGATCACTTCTGTCGTGAAGAAAGGGGGGTCTGGGGGGGCGGAGCCCCCCTGCCCCGTCAAGTTAAAAAGTTACAAGGGTCAAGAACGTGTTATCTGTAGATGAAGCAACTCTATCTATAATAAAGGGGGGTCTGGGGGGGCCGAGCCCCCCAGCATGCGACAAGTAACCGCCGACGGACAAGCCAATGCCTGCCGAAGGCAGGCTAGCGCCGCAGGCCAAGGTAGGTACGCCAGGCGCGGATTGGAGGAACAGGCCGCGAGACATCGCGAAGCCTGTTACGACAAGACGCGGTCTGGCGGAAACCTACCTTGTAATGGGTATGAGTGAGTCCCCGTTGTGTTTAACCGCCATATTTATATTTTTTTGGCCCAGATGCTGGCACTGTAGAGTCCTGTAGAGCTGCCAATACTGCACTCATTGCACGGCTACAACAATTTCTCATATGTGAATTCGTCTGTTTGTTCTTGTTATTCATGATAATGTATTTGTTGAATTGGTAGTATTTTATCGCAGTTGACTATTGTTTATATCTTGAAGCGCGAAGTTAATCCATTACCTTGTCCTGCCAACGGAAAGCACCCGTTATGGGTGAGGAGATGGGGTGTTTGGTCATTCTAATTGGCTGAGCGATAGCGAAGCCTGTTACTCCAGTGCGGTTGAAAAGTTTTGTCTGTCTGTCCGTCCGTCTGTCTGTCTGTCTGTGGGTGTGTGTACACTACTCCTCCTGAACGGCTCGGCCGATCTGGCTGAGATTTTGCAGGCTTATTAGGTATGTTCTTGGCTCGGCACACGCGAAATTTCACCATCCTAGCTCAACTGGTTCAGTTTTTATAGCCGAAAAACACCTAAAAAACGGCGAAAAATCGAGTTTTCTGCAGGTAGATCACCTATGTCTTGAAGAAAGGGGGGTCTGGGGGGCGGAGCCCCCCAGCTTCGACAAGTAAAAAAGTGACAAGGGTCAAGATTGTGTTATCTGTAGATGAAGCAACTCTATCTAGAATTAAGGGGGGTCTGGGGGGCGGAGCCCCCCAGCATGCAACACGTAAGAAGTAACCGACGATGGACAAGCCAATGCCTGCTGAAGGCAGGCTAGCGCCGCAGGCCAAGGTAGGTACGCCAGGCGCGGATTGGAGGAACAGGCCGCGAGACATCGCGAAGCCTGTTACGACAAGACGCGGTCTGGCGTAAACCTACCTTGTTTGTAAATTAGCGCCATCATCAATTTAGGTTAATGTGTTGTATACTGGTTTTGTTTGCTTCCAGATTTCAATTACTTTGGCGACCGTCCACAAGATGTTGTGCTTGAACATAGACGACGTGTAAATCACCAGATTCATGAGCGGCTTCGCATCCGAGACGTGAATGACCCTCTCAACCTTAGCATTCCTGAATTTGTAAAACTCTATCGAATGCCACCAGATGAAGCAGTGGAACTGTGTAACATAATACGCCCATTTGTACCTAGGCATACTAGCCCTCAGCAGGTGCCTTTGTTCAGAAAGGTTAGTTGACTGCCTCTGCTGTGTCACATTTGTTGATGTCAGGTGCTAGAACAATTTTCATTTTGTCACAGCTTTTGATTGCACTTTCTTTCTATGGAATGGGTTCCTACCAGCGTATGATGGGGAGGTCAATTGACTGTGCTGTTGGTCAAACTACTGTTAGCAGGTCGATTAAGGAAATAACAAATGCTTTAAACCATCCTCAAATACTGAATCGTTTCATTAGATTTCCCCTTACAAGAGAGGAAAGAAGGCCGATAATACAAAGGTGATTATCAATTTTGTGGCTTTCATCTTATTATTTGTTGGCCATTAAGTAACGAATAATTATGTGTTTTCAGAAATGAGCAGTTAGGCTTGCCTCGAGTTCTTGGAATCATGGATGGCTTCTTTGTTAGACTGTCTTACCTTCCTCATGACCGTGAGAGACAGGCTCACTTCTGCAGAAAAGGATTTCTTGCAATAAACAACCAGATAGTATGTATTTGCTTTTGTAAGGGAAATTCACAGACATTTTGGTTATCAAATTAACCACTTACAGATCAAATGTAGTCTTTAAAATTGGTTGTCAAATTTACAAGACTAAATATGAAAATCAGATCTTAAATTGGATGTTTCTGATTTGCTTTTTTTGGATTGTATGTGCAGATTTGTGATGCAGACCTGAGAATTCTAAATGTGGACGCTCGCTTCCAAGGCAGTGTCACTGACCGACAAATTTGGGAGGCTTCAACTGCTCGGGAAGTTGTTGAGCAAGCGTATTGGGAGGATCGTTGCTGGTTGTTAGGTGAGTACTGTTGTAAAAATTAAGGCAGGTCTTTTATTGGATGTTTAGTTACAGCTAACATTTTATCACACCTTGGGGATTGTTTTCAATAGATTGTGAAAGGGAAAAGTCCGTTACACTTAATGCAGACAATTTATTTATTTTTGGATGTTGTTGCTGTTAAGTTTTGTAGACCCCTTTAAAAACAATAAGTAGTAAATGTCAATTCCGTGGCATATCTTCACTTTTATTCTGATTCCCTTAAGGAAATGGACTAGGTTTTCCTTGCATGTAGTGGTGGACATGTTTTGGTTACATTCTCTGTTCTTTGTTGTGCAGGGAAGACCATTTGCATTTCTCTACAAATTTATCTCCTTATTTTTATTGAAATTGGGGGTAGCTATGTGAGAATTGTCTCATCATGTCAATGGCATCTGCCTGCACTGTACAGAATTTCATGTTTCCCATTTTGCGCCCAACATTTTAAGAATTCAAGCTTTAATGCAGAATAAATATTAAGTTGTGATAAGAAAAATTATCCACGTTCTTGTTCATGATTTTTACTTATGAAACATGTTTCCTTTGCTTGCAGGGGATTCAGGCTACCACACAGCACCTTGGTTGCATGTACCATTACCTCATGCTCCGCCTGGGACTCCTGAATTTCGCTACACGAGACTTCACTGCCGCTGCAGAAACTGTGTTGAACGATGCATCGGAGTCTTGAAAGGCAGATGGAGGGTGCTCAGCATTGACCGTTGCATCAACTACAGGGATGCAGGTTATGCTGGACAAATTGTTAATGCTTGTTGTGTGCTGCACAACTTCTGCATTGACAGGCGAATTCCAAACCCGCCTCCTTTGTATGAAAATGACATTTACATAGACAATGAGCCCCCCAACGTACTTCCAGTAAATGTTTAAGAACTAGGTATGCAAGAAATGCAGTACTTAATCAATTTTGCCAACAACAGGGGGCACATAAACAATATTGTAAATGTCTTGCACTAATATATTGCATAGGATAAATGTGTTGAAACAGTCTTTTTGGCAATTCTTAAAATTAGTGCCCCTAAAGTATGTAATAGCTTTCTTTCAAACCTGTGGCATGTTAACTATGCTTTTATTTAATTGAGCTAAGTAAAATTCACAGTAACTGTCAATTTTCTTTAATCCTAATTGTTAAAATGACAACATATATGAGACATATTGAAGGTCCTGAGGTAATATACCGTACTCACATTGTCAATATCACCATCCTTCAAAAGACATATTTCTGACGTCTGCACCTAGCTGACCCATCACTTAATCGTCACTAACAACAAAACAAACGAACGCTCGTAGAACCCTGGCCGCAGCGCCACCTGTAGCAGCCATCGCCAGTCGCTCGTCGACCGAACCCGATCACTACCACGCCCGAAGCGCCCGTGCCGACCCGAGCAGGGGCCAGAACACCGCTCAACTCCATCTCAAGCCCCTCTGAACGATCTGCGGAATCGGTCTACAGGTGTTGGAGTGGGCCTGGTGTTCTAATCATGGTTTGGTTCAAGGTAAAATAAGTACGAAAGGACCACTCGGTATACTGATACGACTTTACTCTCTATGAGTGCAAGGGGGAATACAGCAGTCCCCACACACAAGCAGGAGACAAAGGACAACAGTTGACAGTCTACATGACGTGGCACCAAGTATGGCAACCTGGTCCACATGGCGCGAACCTTCAAGTTACACTTAGAACATAAGCCCTTCTGAGTCTCTACTCAGAACACCGTTCGAGTCCTACCGACTGCGCCATGTTCTAATCATGGTTTGGTTCAAGGTAAAATAAGTACGAAAGGACCACTCGGTATACTGATACGACTTAACTCTCTATGAGTGCAAGGGGGAATACAGCAGTCCCCACACACAAGCAGGAGACAAAGGACAACAGTTGACAGTCTACATGACGTGGCACCAAGTATGGCAACCTGGTCCACATGGCGCGAACCTTCAAGTTACACTTAGAACATAAGCCCTTCTGAGTCTCTACTCAGAACACCTGGCAGTGCGCCGCTTACCCCTGCGCATGCGCCGAGCAACCCCCTTCCCCCTCTTTTGCGGCTCTCGCAACGCTATTCTCGCGCTCTCCCGCTCTCGTTCCCTCGCTCCCTCCCGAAAGCGCCGCTTAATTAGACACGCCACTGCACATCTCGTACCGGCGGCCTGCAGCTCGGTAGCGGCGCGTCAAGATGGGGGCCTTCCTGGGCGTGCTGCCGTGAAGCCCTGCCGCCGCCAGCCTGGTCTTCGCCGTGGAAGTGGAGATGGCCCTGTTGGTGTTCGCAGCATGCTACGGCGAGTCGCGTTAGGGTGCTGTAGGGCCGAGTGCCCCAGCTGTCACTTACAGACACTTCACTCACGAGAGACATAAACAGATACCTAGTTCACTGAAATGATAAGATAGGAATGCACAATAGTTCAAAATATCAGACAGAAAAAACCAAAAACCAAAATATTTAAAACACACTGCGTGCTTCTACACACAAAATTGAAAGGCGGTAAAATTACCACAATTGAGAGCGGTAAACTTGCAAAGGCGGAATCCAAATTTTACCGCCTTTGGGAAGGCGGTACTTTTTCAACTGCCCCAAAAAGGCGGTACAAATGCAGGTCTGGAGAAAAAATAATGTACGGGTCTTAAATGGCGGTAATAATTTATACCGCCAATGCAGAAAGAATATTCTGTACCGCCTTTTCAGGAGGGGAATCTTTATACCACCAGAAGAGGATGGCCGCTCTAAACCATAAGGTTGTACCACACTGCAAGCAAGAATTATAATTACCGCTCATTGCAAGCAGTAAATTTTGTTTCCGTTTTTAAACTAAGAGGTCCTTGTTCACTTAGCGGAGCCGCTAACATTCAGTTTCCTGAAGTCAGATGTACTCACATTAATCACTGTGGCACTGCTTCTTTGATGAAATTAGCAGAAATGTTGAGTTAAGTCATAAAGCTAGTATTCAGACATGTAGCATTGTACACTGTTAAACTGGGCCCAGAGCACTGGAGCTCAGACCACAGACTGTGTTGATGAACTTCTATAAAATTTTGACAGTGTATCCACTTCACTCTCAGTTTCACAGTTGCTTCCATGGTAAAGAACAACCCTCGCCCACACTCGACCCCGTTGGTGCTAGACGTCATTGCCCAAAACTAGAAGAAACTGAATAATATTGATATGCATGCACAGCTACAGGCGGCCATTTTCTTTCTGCAACCATCTGCAACTTGTTTTGTTGACGCGACGAGTGACTGCGAATATCTGATATTGTTATGGGCAGTTACGGGTCGGCTGTACGCAGGATATAGGCAGTATTCGCAGTTAGAGGCCTACAAAAACAAAAGCAGAACTAACCTGAAAATCATAAACAAAGGGCCGCCGCCGGTTCGTGTTTTTGTCCAATATCCATACATATAATCAAGTTTCCTCTAGTTTTGTGAGATAGAGACCTTTTGCCAACTGTGTCGTGCGTGGGCGAAGATTGTTTGCTACCATCCAAGCTACGGTGAAAGTGCGTGTAAAATGAGAAAACTGTCAAAACTTCATAAGTTTATATACACACTTAACACATCTGTGCTCCACCAAGCCCAGTTTACCAGTGCAGAAAGCTACAAGATTTGATGCTATCTACTTTGGATGACTCAACCTGTTTGCCATATTTATCTTCTGAGCAGCAGTTTCACTGCTGTGCACTCAATCATGATTCATGTGAGTACATCTGACTTCAAGAAAACTGAATGACTGCTGCTATGCTATGCAAGTATGGACCTCTTAGTTTATGAGCGTCACAACAATCGTTTCTCTTAAGAGTCCCCAGTGGGTCTGACAACCTTCACGGGCAATTAGAAAAGTCTGCTATCCACACAATACCTAAGATATATTAACAATTTTGGATTCAGCGAGACATTTAAATCTGTTCACAATGGTACAGTGTAGGCGGTAAATCAAACAACCGCCTTTTGATGAGCGGTATTGATGGCTTGTGTTTGGCGGTAATTTAGGTACTCCCTATGACTGGCGGTACTGATGCAATGTTTTAATAACCCTCAATTATGGACTCAGCACTGATGGAATAGTTGTGGCGGTAAATGAAAGTACCGCCTTTGATTGGCGGTAATGATGGCACGTAAAAGGCGGTAAATTCAATACCGCCTTTTTTGATACATTTGTACCGCCTTTCATTTTTGGGTGTAGTCAAAATTACAAACCTCCCCCTGGTAAGACCTGAAGCCATTGATAGGAAAGTCTCAAGCACAGACCCTCGCTGAACTTCATCTATGACAATGAGCCCTAGTTCCTTTTCACCGCCCAAAATCAACGAGGCTTTGCAGAAGTGATAACGACTTGTCAGTGACATAAACATTTACAGTAGGCCCTCTAAGACCTCAAACACCTCAAACGGGGAGTGGCATAAAATTCTGAGGGTGCGGTGCATCGGATTGACTGCAAAAATTTCAGGGGTGGTTTCGGCGTCTTTTTCTTTCCGAGGCCACTTTTGAACGACCCTCCTACCCCTGCGGGGCATGGGGCGCTAGGGGGTAAACACCCCCACCACGCGGGATAAAGATGAAGGACAGTTTTTTTATAGGAATGGGTTTCTGCGCACCGGGATCGCGAGGGCACGAGCCCGCCGGCCCGGGACTTGGAATCCTTCCCTCAGATGACACCTGGCCAGGGACGCCCTCCTATCCAGGTGTCGTGTCGTCCCAGGGGAGGGAATGGCCCCGGATCCGCCCCCGCAAGCGAGCGAGCCGCCAGGGCGGTCCTCCCTCGGGTCCACGCCGGGCCAGGCCGGCGACCGCCCTGGGGTCCTCCGGGATCGCGAAGGCACGACCTCGCCGGCCCCGGGAATTCGGCAACGGTGCACAGACACATGATGGTGGAAGGGTTTTGAAATAAGTTTCCAGAGATGCAGGGACATGTCACGTTTGTGACAAGTACTGTTATATTCGAATAGAAATTCGTAGAATCTTAAAACATTTTACAGAAATATTACAAATATTAAATATAACGAAATATTACAATAATTTTTTTTCATAGAATGTAAGTACATATTAACATTGGAGTACACACAACTACATTTCAGTCTTTTTATCAATTTATTGAGCGGAAAGAGCTCTTTATCCGAAATTTTATCAAGGCCCTTGACTAGTAGACAAAAGGAGCACCCTAATACTTTATGTTCTTTATATGGGTGGTGACAGAATATGTGTCCTCAAAATCCCTCAGGGGAAAACTGATGAAAATAACCACTACAAGTGGGAGATTCCCCTCTTAAAAAATGCAACCCCCCCCCCCTTCCGGTAGTGAATCTAGATTTAGTTAGTATACAGTTCATGAAGGATCGAGAGAGACATCATAGAACTTTGACTGGTAATGGACTGACAGATAATAAAAAAAAAACAATAAGGTTCAAGACAAGATTTATTTTCAACTAAAAGGTTTTAAAAAGAGGACTAAGGAACAAGGTTAAAGACAAAATCTATCCTCAATTAAGGTTTTGAGTAGCCTCCTCAAAGTCCCAATTCATCTCTGTTGCAAGGTGAAGCGCCTCTTTAATATCTAGCCCCAAGGCCGTAATGATGCTCAGCTTTTCTTCCAATTCGGGAACATCCTTGCTGCCTGAAAAGTACAGAAGAATTACTTAAAAGGAAACAGTGTTTAACAAATGCAAGATTTTGTTGCTTTACTCACCACCAGCATGCACTTTGGTCCATACCGTGAAACGGGGTAATTTCGGACACTCGGTGTAATTTCGGACAACTCTCCCCGGAAGCATGGCGATGATGCTCCCATCTAACGGCCAACTTGGAGGCTTGTGCCGTTGCGCGCATCGCATCGACTACACTTAAAACCATCTGATCAATCACCCGGAGGCCAAATCTGGGGCAAACTTCAGGAGAAAGAGTGGTTTTTGTATATAACCATTTTTACCTAAATTCACTTTATGCGTAAAAACTTTGACTGGCAAGCCGAAACTGTTCATGGCCGGTTCATGAAGTGATTGTATGTCGATTCGATCATGTTAAGAGCATACTGTGTCAAATTTTCAATCACCTGGGTCAAATGGTATGGTTTATATGGGCTCAAAACTTAAAAAAAAATTACTTTACGGGGTAATTTCGGACATACAAACGTCACGCCAGGGAGAGTGGTTATGCCCTGAACACTTCCAATTTCGCAGGGTTCGAGTGGTGGAAGCTGAAGAGCTCTTCTGAAAGTTGAAGATAATCCAATAACAACGATATTCCCCAATTGTTACAGCGGTTGCTTTGTAAACTTCGAATTTCATAAAAATGGGGCAAAGCTACATCTTTAATACTTAGTTTTATGTGCATATCCTACGTTAGTGTCAACGACTGTTTTGTGATTGATTTTCTTTCATGTGACAAGAGAGTTAGACTTGGCGAATGGCTGCATAGCTCGCCGGTTTACTACAATTGAAATGCAAAGTTTTCCACTGAGCTCCTGTATCTTACTAACCGTACATACGACACGACTACTTGCCCTTCATATGCATGTATGTGATCGTATGTAATCTTGTAGAGGAAGATAAAAGATTCACTTTCGCGTAATAAAGTATGGCCCGAGATGCCTAAGAAAGCTAATCGGTCAAAGGTTAAAAAATAGAAGCGTTCCAAATGGCTCTACTAGTTCCACCCACTATTCCTGAAATCGAACTACATAATATGAGTGCAAAAACATGACTTCAAATTATGAATGAATGACCACCCCTACCTTACCTTTACATCTGAACCCTTACGAATTGCTCATATAATCATATTAGCACTTTAGAAAGAGACAGTAATCGATTTTGGGACCAAAATCAGAACGAAAAGTCGTTTTTTTCAAGGGGTGTCCGAAATTACCCCAAAACACGGGGTAATTTCGGCTGTAAAAACGGTGAGGTGCGGATATCTGAAATGAGCGCCAAATCGAAGCTTAAGGTGGGTAGATGATATATTTTAACCCTCAAGTCCATGACAGCACCACGACTTTCACAATTTGAAAAAAATCTATCAAAAGTGTCTGAAGTTGCCCCGTTTCACGGTAATACTGCAGTGGGTTCAAATAGTTCTTCATTAGTGAACATCATAGTAGCGTAGAGGCTCAATCCAGAGAGGCGGAATCGTGGCAGGAGCGTCTACCATGTGTCACCATGAATTTAAGCGCCAAAATTCAACCTCTTCCAGGCCTAAACACCCCAGATTCAAAAAGGGGTGGGACGTCCAAGGGGTTGATTTGGCCGGGGGTGGTCGGAATCTAATAGAAAATCTGTTTCGTGGTAGGGATAGGCCACTGGAACGTTTGCACCAGGTTTCAGCCATTTTGGGGACCAACACCCTGGAATGGGTGACAGTGGAGGGGGGTGCATTCGTCCGATTGCAATTCCTCTTGTACCGTTGGAAAGAAGAGACTCATTTAAGTCGGTGCACCAAAGAAATATGGCTTTCCAACTTTCGCAGGCCCGAAATTTTGACATGTTTGTCTCTGTTTTTTCACCCTTCCGCACGGAAGGGGTTGCCCAGGCCGTAAGGGTTGGCGCAACGACTGCGCACTTCGCAAGCCCAAGATGATCAATAAGTAGCCTACCAGATTTCAGCATGCTAGCTCAAGAACCATAAAAATTGTGCCGACCGCAAGAAAGGGGGCGCTAATTTCGAGCGTTAGTGTATTCCCTTGTGTTGTACACATTTCGAAGAAAAGTACACACACATCTGTAGATGCAAGGCTCTGAGTCAATGAAAAGGGGAATGATAAAAGTTGCTGTAATAAAAATACAAAGAACAGAAGATGTGGCCACTTAACATTCAGAGAGGTCTTAAAACTGCCCACTAATAAGATATTTCTTTAGCAATTTTTGAAACTACTTGTGATTATCTTTAACTTTTTTGGTGTGATCACGCAACTTGTTGAAGAAACATGAACCCATGTAAGAGGAATTACATCCAGAAATATTGCTTCTAAAAAGGGGCAGATGGCAGATCTCTGTACACGGTCAGAAAAATTCGTACTTTTACTGCCATTTAACGATAAATTCTCTACGAATCACGTCCGTAATTCGTAATTCTGCAACATTTACGGCCACAAATCGTAATTTCGGGTCCCCTTGGGTCTCCAACGGGTCCTGATGCGTCCCACTGGAGTCCCTGTGGGTCCCATCAGGTCG